CTCTAAATTAGGGTCCCTTTCAGGCTCCCGTTTACAAGGGGGATCGAAAAAGGGACCTGAATCTAGAGAACTACCCATAGAAGGTCTAAGAGCAGAGAGTTGCAGTGGTGCAGACAAGAGTTGTTCATGCTGGAAGCATCTTTCAATGAGGCGGTGGAGCTAGCAGCCCTGAAGACGGAGTGCTTTACACACACAGCTGCCAGCCACGCCCCTGGCACCCTCCTATGAACTGCACCGCGATCCCAAGACCCTAAACCCGCTGTGGGACTTGGACGAAGGGCTCACTTCGCGCCAAGCCCTGCCTTAACAAAAATACAGCACCCCTCCCCTACAGCCTGTACTAGACCATACCGTGGAAAAGCGCGTTTAGAACACCACAAGGTAAGTTTCAATCGCCGAAAGGTGACCAGCGAGAAAAACCGGGAGTTGGCGCTGGGAGACATGCAGAAGAAACTGCGGGCCTGCTGCTCGGGAGCTCCAAACCCCAACCACAACCATGCGTATAGGGTGTAGTTTAGGGCCCAGGCTGTAGACTTTAGAGTTCAGTGTTTAGGGGTTAGGGTCAGCTGTACAATAGAAGGCGGTAGACCTGTGGCCTATTTTGGGCAGCAAACAGACCCGGCAAGGATTGACAGATTGATAGCTCTTCTTATTGACGGTATGGGTGGATCTGTATATGCTTTGTGTAGGTTTATGTGGGATTCGTGGAGGTTTAGTCAATGTCTATGTACACAGAGTAGAGTTGACGGCTTTGCTAAAACACTCGTAATTTTGGGCCATGGGAGCAGAAGATAGGTTCTGGGGCTGCTTGCTTACTCAATTAATGTGTTTTTTTACGTATGTATTCACCAGCTTCCTGTGTGATCTCTCTCTCTCTCTCTGTCTCGGTCTCTCTCTTTTTCCGCGCCTCAAACTTTGCTTTTCTGCTTTACTTGTTATTCAAGTTCGTTTCTTGCTGATTTGCGAGGTCACGGAAGCTTCCGTCGTTCAAGAGGATAGATGGCTTCTGGTTTCGGCTTCTTCTCAAATATCGTGGGTCTCAGAGCTTCCTTCTCTTCGAGGCCACTTGGAGGTTCATGGGTAGTTTTAAGTATGGTTATAAGTCCCCTAAAAGGGGTTATAGTTATAGCTACCCTACTTATAACCCCATTAAAACCTGCCCCTGAACCTCCAAGCACCGGAAAGCCCTGGCCCAAAGTAATGCCGAACTATCCCAAGGCACTCTCCACTTGGAGGTTCATGGGTAGTTATATATGGGGTTATAAGTAGGGTAGCTATAACTATAACCCATATTAGGGGACTTGTAACCATACTTATAACCACCCATGAACCTCCAAGTAGGTCTCTAGGTTTTGCAGGGGCCTGTAAAGACCGTATGTTTGATCAAAGCCGCGGAAAAGGCATGGAACTTCCATGTTGGATAGAAGTACAGACCAAATGCCTCTTCCCGGAATGCCGGAACCACACCGCCGCCCCCTTTCACAGGACTACGCTGGAAGTATGTGCCAGTACACCGGCAGTTACGGCAAACGTGTTTTGAGTTGGCGCCAAAGCGCCCTAAACCCTAAACCCTACATGAGCCCTTACATGTGCAGCCCGCCGCTCCGGACTGCTTAGGCGACGCAGATCACCATCGAGGAAAGCCGCGAGGCATAGCCGTTCATGAGGGTTTAGTGCTCGGGATTTGGGGTTTAGGGTTTAGGGTTTAGTGCTCGGGATTTGGGGTTTAGGGTTTCAGTGAGCTTTGCCTTCCTGGCGCTCAGGGTTTAGGGTTCGGGTATCTGAGTGTTCCGGGTATATGGAAGCCTGCCATCACGAAAAGCTTCGGCGGCTGTCCAACTAGGAAGGGGCTCTTTTGCCACTTTCGTCGTTTGAGGTCTCTGCACTGTGGGAGGAAGGTCTAGGTCGCCATGACGGGGATCCGCGTTATATATACTTAACTTAGAGAGTTCCAGTGGAGCTTTGTTCATTTATCATGAGTAACTCCAAGAATTGGGTTTAGCAGTTTTTGAACACCTGCTTGGGAGGGTGCAGAGTGCGAATCTAGAGTCCCTAAACCCTAAACTTCCCAAACCCCAAACCTTCTCGGATGTAAGGCTCCAGGGTAGGGTTCGGAAAGCGTAAGAACCACAGCCAGAGCTTGGAGTTTAGGGTCTGCGGTTTCGTTTCAGGATAGCCACACTCGGAAGAACGAGACCCTAAACCCTGAACCCTCTTTATCATACCCTAAACCCTAAACCCTAAACCCTGAACCCTCTCTATCATACTATGCATTTACACCCTAATTCCTTCGTTGGAAAAGGGGCCTCTCGGCCGGGTCTTACTCGCTTTTTTTGGCCTAGGTTTTTGTTGGGGGCTTCGGGTGCAGGACCAGGGTTTTGGGGCTCAGGTTTAGTAGGGTTTTGGGATTTCAGCCTCCAAGTGGAATAAAAGCCTAATGGGTTTCCTAATGATCTGGGAAACTTGGTCTAGGACATTTTCAGGTGGGTAGCTACCGTTAGAGGAGCCTTATGGAAGGTCTATATACCCTATGGAAGCCTTATAGAAGCCCTATATACCCTAAACTCCCCTCCTGTAGTTTCCTTTAACTTGGGTGGCTGGGATGATTGCCGGAGGTGAGCTCGACTGGAAACTGCTCAATCCGGAGCTGCTGAACCCTGAACCCTGAACCGTGAACCCTGAACCCTAAGCCCTAAGCCCTAAACCCTAAACCCTAAACCCTAAACCCTAAACCCTAAACCCTAAACCCTAAACCCTAAACCCTGAACCCTAAACGGGTTTCAGGTCCACCCTGAAGCCTACGAGCTACATGCGAGCTATAGAAGGCATCGTGAGTCCCTGGGCTTAGGGTTTGGGGTTTTGGATCTTTAAGACCCTCCCCGAAGAACCACCAGACCTTGGGTTTGGGGTTTAGGGTTTAAGTTTTAGGGCTTAGGGTTTAGGGTTTAGGGTTTAGGGTTTAGGGTTTAGGGTTTGGGGTTTAGGGTTTCAGTTTTAGGGCCACGGTTTGTGTTGCAAGTCGCGAAGCTGCAGAAAAGAGCGCGAGACCGTAAATGCGAAACTCGACGTCCGAAACCCTACACCGAAAAGGGACCGCAAACACGAAAAACACTGACAGGGTTTCTAAACTCGGATCCTACACCCTGAACCCCTTGACTCGAAGAGCCCACAACCCTGCACCCTTCGCTTCAAGCTACCTGGGTCTGAATCGCAGGTCTGCGACAGCCAGCGCCAGGTCGTGCAACACGTGCTCCCCCAGATCAGCCAGGCGGGCCCTTAAAGGAACCCCTAAAGATCCCTTGAAGGAACATGAATTCAAATTTTAAAGGAACCCTAAGTGAAACCTGAAAGAAACCCCCTATAGATCCCCTGAAAGGAAGGAATCCTTAAGGGGAACCCTTATTTGGGGTTCAGTGACGTTTTCGGGCTTAAGAAAGCAGGCCTGCCCCTCGCCCCCCCTCCTCCACAAAAAAGAGAGCAGCCAAGGCCCTATGAGCCCTTAAGATTTTCCCGGGGTTACTACAAGGACTACTAGAAGTCCTGTAAGGGCTACTTTAGGGGCTCTTCCTTTTCTAGAAGCGCTTTGAAGGGGAGCCCTTCAGGGAGCCCCTTAAAGAGCCCCTTAAGGGTTCCCTAAACCCTAAACCCTAAACCCGACACCCTTCAGGGAGCCCTTAAAGAGCCCCCTTAAGGGTCCCCCTAAACCCTACACCCTTCTACACCTTTCAGGGAGCCCCTTCAAGAGCCCCCTTTAAGGGTCCCCCTAAGGGTCCCTAGCAGCCCTTAAAGGGGAGCGATTAAAGAGCCACCCTTTAAGGGTCCCTCTAAGGGTCCGAAGAGCCCTGCGCTTGAGGTGGCACGACTCCTGGAGCTCGAGTCCGAGCGCCTTCGTCCGATGCCCTGGAAGACCGGGGTTTAGGGTTTAGGGTTTAGGGGTTAGGGGTTAGGGGTTCGGGGTTTAGGCTTTAGGGTTTAGGGGTTTAGGGTTTAGGGTTTAGGGGTTTAGTGGTTAGGGTTTAGGGTTTAGGGGTGTAGGGGTTAGGGTTTAGGGTTAACAGGAAGCTTTTTCGGATTATCACTGCCTGTTTTGAGGATGCTTTTCTGCCCTTTTTGGTAATTCTGCAATTTCTCGGATCATCTCACCATGTATTGTACAGGTATATACATGTATAAGTAAGTATGTATAGAAATATATATATGTACACACATAGATATCCACGTGCATAAACAGATGAGGGGTATGTGTGCATGCATGGATGGATGGATGGATGGATGGATGGATGGATGATGGACGGATGGGTTTATGTATGTGTGTTTGTATATATATGTACACAAAAAACTCGTGTGCGTATGTATATACATGAATGCATTCACATACTATTCACTCTCTAACTATTGGTGGTGTTCGGGGCTCGTTGGGTGTTAATACTATTGTGAGTTTATGGTTCAGGCTACTACTCCCACACTGCGCCCAGTACCTAAGCCCTAAGCTACTAAACTCTTAAAACCTAAACCCCTAAACTCCTAAACCCCTAAATCCCTAAACTCCTACGTAAACCCCACGCCGCCAAGCCCTAAACTCCAAAACGCCTAGACCCTAAACCCGAAACTCCTACACCCTAAGCCCCCAAGCCCTAGACTCCTAAACCCCCAAACCCTCCCTAAACCTCTCTCAACCCCGAGGCTCCTAAACTGTTAGGCTCTTGAGCTCCTGAACTACAGTTGATGACATAAATCCTGCCTTGCCTTACCCACAATAAGGAATATACCATACTTCCCATAGCCTGGGGTCTTAAGGTACGGCAGGGTTTATATCGTCAGCAGTCCTTAGCGCGAGATTCTTTCGCCGTAGCGTGAGGCGAAGCCGGGCATGCGTCGGAGGTCAGCGACTTCCCGACGAGGCCCTTGGCCCTGCCACCCCCCCTCGCGTGGGTTTCATAAGAAAAGGGGCCTTAATAATAATAATAATTATTATTATTATTATTATCATTATTATAAAAATACATATAATAGTAATAATAATCACAATAATTACCTATACCATTTTGGGGGTTCCTTATTGTATTTTTTATACTATAAAGGGCCCCGAAACCCTGTTCTAGTTATTAAGGCCCCTACAGTAGGCGGGTGGAGGGTTCAGGGTTTGAAGTTTAGGTGTTTTGGGTTCAGAAGAGCATTGAGTTTTTTTTTTCAAGGCTTATGGGCATTGTTTTCTGGTTTTCTGGTCAGTCACCATTTCTTCTTCTTGGTTTGCGGGTCTAGCAACTCTGAACCCCAAGCCCTAATCTCAGCCTAACAGTCTCGAACCATTTTTAAAGCATCCAGCCATGCTTTAGCACCGTGGGTTCCAGGCCCTAAGGAGCAGACGCTAATTATTCGTCTCAGGATCACCTTACAGCCTAATTCAAGACCCTACGCCCTTATAACCTAGACCTAAAAAATTCTAAGCTCCTAAATCCTAAGCTTTGCATCCTAAACACTCATCGACTCCGACCAAAACATACAGCAAAGGGAGATGTCGACCCCATCCAAGCGAGGGAGGGAACTTGGGGAAACGTTCGAGAGAAGATGGGTTTAGGGTTTAGGTTTTAGGCGTTTAGGGTTCAGGGTTTGGGGTTCAGGGTTTAGGGGTTTAGGGTTTGGGGTTTATTGGGATTTGAAGGTTTAGGGTTTAGGGTTTAGGGAGAGAGGATGAGGGAACATTCGAGAACAAATGCGGGGGTAATTTGGGCAATGGAAATTTGTTGGAAACTTAGGGGGAGCTTTAGATTGAAATTTTGGGGAACTTTCGAGGGTCATTTAGGGGATTTCAGGGTGGGGGATTTCGAGGGAAAGTCAGGCGAAGCATTGAGGGAGCTTTGGGGGGAGTTTCGGGGGAAGCTTGGGGTGGAAATTTTCAAGAACCAAACTTTTAAAATGGGGTTATAAGTTATAACCGAGCACAGACAACAAAGCCTGAAGCCTTAAGGCTTAGGCCCATGAGATCCCATTTCAGTACGGCCATTTAAAAGCTTGGAGCTTTCAACTTTAAATGCTGAACCCAAAGGCCTTAGGCCTAAACCCAGAAGCCTCATAGTAGATTCCTCTAGACAAGCCCCAAAAGCTTCAAGAAGCCCCCGAATTAGCTCCTAAAGCCCAAGACACCCTCGAGGCAGAGCCCTAAACTAGAACCAGAGGCCCCTCTAAATTGGTTCCGAAAGCCCTAAAAAATAGACCCAAAAGTAGGGTTTAGGGTTTAAGGTTTAGCCTTAAAACTCCAAGCCATGACTGCTGCAGGCCTTCTGACGAGCTTCGTCCTGACACCATGCTTCTCTGGCTGCAGTGGGCCGGAGGCCCAGGTGCTGTGGCTCAGGGATGTGAGTGCATATACATATGTTATACATATATATGTATATGTGTGTGTGTGTGGATGTATGTATGTATGTATGTATGTATGTATGTATGTATGTATGTATGTATATATATATATAAATATATGTATGTATGTATGTATGTATGTATGTATGTATGTATGTATGTATGTATATATATAAATATATGTATGTATGTATGTATGTATGTATGTATGTATGTATATATAT